CCAGGCTTAGCTAGACTGAGAGATATTGTGGAAATGGTTGGTCTCTACAATATATACACTGACACTGAACCTCTCAGAGCTCGTCCCGGTCCGTCACGGCCATCCTCGGCCTCCGGAGGGCCCCCGGCCGCGGCGCGGTGCGGCGGAGTCACAAATCCGACGGCAGAGCACCGGGACGCGGTCGGGCGATCTAAGGCCCAGTGAGGCGTATGCATTGCCCATCCAGGACTATCACCTGGACCTATCAACAGGGGCTGGAGCCGAGCAGGAGGGCCCGGCGCACAACCCCCTGGTCAACTCACCCTCCACACCCCGTACCAGACCTCGGTTCTTCCCATAGGGTTTCTGGTGCGGTTTCCCATGGGCATGGCGGTTTCCCATAGCCGAAAACCCTGAGGGGTCGGTCGGTTTCTGCAGCGCACTCTGTTTTTTCTGGGATCTGTTTTCTGGGACACCCGCCTCGATTTCCCGTGGGATCTGCCTGTGGGTCTGGTTTCTGCGGTGTGAAGACATCTCCCGCTTCGTCCTAATGAGCTCATTCCAGCCAATGAACAGGTGTACCCCCATCCGAACCCGGGGGTATCGAGCACGAAATCACAGAGCGCCGTGACGCGATATGTTATCCGGGATCTGCTTTTTCGGCCCCCGATGGCGAGCTGGCTCGACGATCTCGGTCTCAACGAGCTCGAACACATCAAGGATGGCGCAAGTGCCTTCGCGCAGGAGCGCCCAGACGCTCTGGGTTATGGCGAACGTGTCTGGCAGGCTTTCCGACGCGGCAAGGAGTTTGACGGCCAGAGCGGGTGATGCGCCGTTGCCAACCACGAATCGGAAGAGTTCGAAGCGCTCGCGATTGTCGAGCCGCGTGGACCATCCGAGGCGCTGCATGTCGTAGTCACGGCTGCGAGGGTCCTTCGACCAGGTCGTTGGCGAGAAGTGCAGGTCGCCAATGGCATTCTCAACGTCGGACAGGGCGTCGGCGTGCCAAACACCGAGTGCCTGGCGCTTGAGCAACTGAACGCTGGCCTGTTTTGCGTCAGTCTCAGAGGAGCGACACTGTGCGCTGAGGCACCGTGGTGAGCCGCTTCTCGTCGCCGTTGAGAGGTGAAAGCAACGAGGGGCGCTCCATCGCACTCGATATGAATCGCAGAAACCAGAAACCAGAACGCGGTTCCCCCCAAGGGTTCCTCCCACCCATCATGCCGCCGCCCCTGCCACCCCTGTGTCAGTGTGCCCGTGGTAGTGAGAGACTGCCGGCGAGAAGCCGGAGGAAGGTCGCTAGACTGAGATGAGACCGCCAGTGGAGTTGGGGGTCCACCGCGCACCGCGCTGCGAGCCTGTCGTGTCCCTTGTCAGGAGCAGGAGAGCCCCACCTGTCCCCCTGATCGTCCAAAATCCTGCTCGTGCAGGTGTGGACCCTGTCCTCCTCCCCTATCCCTCGTTTGGGTTGTCTGTTTTCTTTCTTTTTTCCCCCTCCCACCCAGAACATGCTGCTGTCTTAGTGCTCCCGTTCGACCCATTCGGAATACGATGAGTTAATGAGGGGTCATTCCGGCGGAATGACCCCTCCGGGAGATCGTTCACACCTCGAAAAACCAGAACCCAGAGCGTCTGGACCGATATTCCCATGGCCCGGATGTGATCTGTGGATGTGTCGAAAAAGCAGAATACAGAGCTCCCCTCCTCCTAGATAGAAGTCAGACGGTTTCTTGATAGCTGATATGCCAGGGAAGAGCCAGGTATCTCAGTATGTTATGTCCTATGATATAACATAGTGGGATCTGGTTTATCCATACCTCCGTGACTGCACCCTTTCCTCCCTTCTGTCTGTCCACCTCGCTCTCTCTCTCTCTGTCTGTCTCTCACTCGGTCTCGGTCTCGGTCTTCGCTCTCGGTCTCGGTCTCTCTCTGTCCCTCTCTCTCACTCACTCACTCACTCACTCTCTCTCTCTCGCGCGCGCGCGCTGCGTGTGTGTGTGTGTGTGTGTGAGTGTGTGTGTGTGTGTGTGTGTGTGTGTTGTAAAATGAACTCGGGGGTGGCACGGGACGACGCGGCACATGTGTGTGTGTGTGTGTGTGTGTGTGTGTGTGTGTGTGTGTGTGTGTGTGTGTGTGTGTGTGTGTGTGTGTGTGTGTGTGTGTGTGTGTGTGTGTGTGAAGAAAGAAAATGTTGAAAAAAAAATTTATTTTGAGAACCGCGCTGTATGTCCCGCGACGAGGAGCGCTGGCTCGCGCTCGAGCGCGACTACCGGCGGCAGGTGCGCAAGGCGTACTATCGTCGCGAGGAGGACTTTGCGACGCTCGTCCAGTACAACGACTACCTCGAGGAGGTCGAGGAGATTGTGGCCGGGCTGGTCGACGAGAAGCAGCGGCCGGCGACACGCGCGAGACTGGAACAAGCTGCGCGCCGCCCACCCTTCTCTCACCGTGAACATCGCGCGGCGCTCGAAAAGAACCGACCCTCCTGTGCCCCCCTGCACAACTGAACCACCCCAGGGGCCAACACCGGGCGACCAACGTTTCCGGAAGCTAACGAGGCCCCAAAGAAACCGCCCCCCTACCAGCAGAACCTCAATAAAAAATTCCCCTCCCCGAAAAAAGC